CTGGCTGGGGAATTCTGGGAGTTGAAGTCCACACGTCTTAAAGTTGCCAAGATTGAGAAACCCTGCTCTAGAACGCAATTTCTGCTGTGATGAAGTAGTGGTTTGTGGCTGAAGGTTTGCTGGTAGTGCATGCACCTTACACAGAACTTTTCTCCTGCAAAAAGTCCTATAAAATCTTTTAACTGGGCAGCAAATATGAAACACTTGCTACACTTGCTCAGTCACGCTTGCTCAGTCCTGAGGAATTAAGGAGTGAGAGAGCCCCATTCTAGTGACTATTAAGAAATAGAATAGCCAGCATGGTAGCTCCACATCTCCAAACAATAGACATTGTAGGAATGCTGTGTTAGTCTGGTAGCCCCTTTTCCAACTAATTCATTTTATTAAAAGGCAGAAGCTTATTGGTTGAAAAAGGTGCTCAGATTCCTTTTATCTCCAAAGGGTGAATCCTTGCATTGTCCTATTAACAAAAAACTTTGGAGCGGGGCATTTTATGAGAGAAGATATATTCCGAGTTTCGAAAGGTTCAGGAGCTGTACATTCCAACTTCTGTTTCTGAAAAGAGAAGGGAGTGATTTGGGAAGCTCCAAGGACATTTGCTATGTAACTAAAAAGGCTGACCAGTTGGTGGTGCTAATAAGTCAAGAAAAATTCAATGTCTCAGCAGATGGCAGCACTCAACTGAAACTACGCAGGGGGCCTGATTTGTACATGGATGGGAGACCGTGAAAGAATACGAGAATACCAGGACTGTATCTTTTATCCTCAAATGTGCATTACCACCACCAGAAAACCCTCCTGTTGCAGGATATGGGAGTGTGGATTTCTCTTTTCCATCTCTGCACAATTTCAGTTCTCTTTCCTTGCATTGTCTCAACAGGTGGCATTACTAGCTGATCTTTTCTGGACTCAGAACCTAAGCAGGATTGGGCCTGGTTATACTTGGACAGGAGACCACTATAGAGTACCAGGGCTTTAAGCTAAGCTAGGCTGGGCTAGGAAATTGAAGGGAAAAAAAATCCCACAAGAAAGCAGTGTCAAATTGCTTTTATGATATGCCAGTCAGGTCAGAGTCTCTTTGTGTGAAAGAATGTAGGCCTGGCCTTGGGAAGGAGGAAGAGAGCAAAGATATGTTAACAGAGAGCAAGTGATAACTCAGTCCTGAGAAAGTAGAAAGTGTGAGAAAGGAACTCAAAAGAGCCCCACCTTGATTTTGTTGGATATAAGATGGGGCAGAGAGAAACTCTGACAGACTTTCAAGATGCTGTTATCCTACCCTAACATTCCTGGAATCCCCGCTGCTTCTGCTTTTTAACCTGGCCTACCTTGAAGGGCTGACCTCTTGCTATACGGGAAACCAGCTTTAAGATAGCACAGCTCCTCTAGTGTAAGATCCCAGTGGTAGTTGGGTCTAGCCAACCTGGGTTACCTTTTGGTTCTGCTCTGATGGTTGGCTAGTGGAGTGGTCACTAGTGAAGAGAAGAGAGACCAATTGGTTTCACATCCATGCTATAGAGCAGTGTTTCTCAGCCTTGGCCACTTTAAGATGGGTGGACTTCAACTCCCAGAATTCCCCAGCCAACATGGTTGGCTGGGGAATTCTGGGAGTTGAAGT